TAGAACTTGTTCAACTGTTATAGAAAGCCCAAAAGAAACTGGCTTAAGCAAAATGAATGTATTGTTTCCAATAAGAAAAGGTCAAGGAATGAAGCTTGTTCAAGGCAATAGTAGAATAGAAGTTCACTTATTCACATCTACCTTACTATACATGTAGTACATCACCTTGAAAATAATATTAAATTTAAAAAATCTACCAAGAAGTTGCAGAGATAACATATAAAGTCACTACATACTCATATCCAGCTTTCTCATTAATATACATTAATATGGTACATTTCTATGTTCCATTAAACCAATGTCAACTCATTATTATTAACTAAATTCCATTCTGTGTCCAGATATTCATAGTTTTTACCCAATGTCCACTTTTCTTTCTTTCTTTTTTTTTTTTTTTTTGGTCGGTCGTGGGGCTTGAACTCTAGGCTTGGGCATTGTCCCTATGCTCTTCAGCTCAAGGCAAGCACTCTACCACTTGAGCCAAAGCACCACTTCCGGTTTTCTAGTGGTTTATTGGAGATAAGAGTCTCACGGACTTTCCTGCCCGGGCTGGCTTTCAACCGTGATCCTCAGATCTCAGCCTTCTGAGTAGCTAGGATTACAGGCATGGGCCACCAGCGCCGGTAATGTCCACTTTTCTGTTCTAAGATACCACATTACATTTAATCATCTTTCTTCTTTTTGTTCCAAGAAGTTCTTCACTGTCCTTGCTTTTAATGATGGTGCCAATTTGGGAAGTCTGGAAAGGTATGCATAATGCTACTTCATTGAGGCTTGTCTGATGTTTTGGAAGTTATGGTTTTGGGGAACAAGAATTAAGATATGTCATTCCATCACTTTGTATTAAGGGTCCAAATTATCAATTCAACTCATCACTGTTGACTTTAATGGTATTGACCTGATAGAGACTTGGTTTATCAGCCTTCTCCAATGAAAAACCGTTCTTCTTCCTCCCACCATCTCTCCATCAATTTTAGTAAGGAATTCACTGTAGTTAGCCCATAACTGAAGGGTGAAGAGTTATAGTCTGCTTTCTAGAGTGACCATTATTTATGTATTAATTGCAACTATTTTTTACAGGAGGCTTGTCTAGTTTCCATTTATTTATCAACATACTGAATTGTTTATGGCTGATATTTAATGCTGCATAATATTCCAACTATATTTTCATTAATTTTGTTCTCATTATCTTACTTTGTCCATTGGCAACTCTCTCAGTTGACTGTGTATTTTGCCATAACATCATGGGTTATGACTGAGAATTTAAGTAGAATAGAACTTTTAAACTTTATGGAGCTGTAACATTCTTCACAGTCATCTTGTAAATTCCTAGCCCAGTATTAGAATTAGCCATTTTTTCCAAGAAACCATTATTATTATCAGAAAATGATAAAAGAAAAAAGATCAGAGTATTGTGTTCACTTTTTATTGTTTTCTTTTACATTTAATTTTATTTTGTTTATTGTTGGTATCTTAGCTTTCAAGATACTTTATCTGAGCTTGGATTTTCTCTTAATTTAGACAGGTCTTTCAGATTGATTCAATAGTGGTAGAAATTTTCTTTATATTTCCAAGTTTAGTATAGCACTCTTAGGACTTAAATGCCAAAGGACAGTACAAGAGTTCTCTTTCTTAGATTCCCAACAAATCTCGAACAGATTTGGCTCTGTTTAAAGTAGTGATTCCAACTTTTTTAGTGAAGTCAAGAGAAATAAGCTGCTCTTTGGGGTTAATATTCCATCGTATATTTCACACCACAGACAACAGCCTAACAATATGGGAGAAGTAGATCTTCACATGAAGATTAATGAAAAGGAAAAATATATAGTGTATGATTGGAATAACTACTATTATGTCTATGAATTCAGAATTTCCAAAACTGGCTACCATTCACAGTGAAGTTTTGAAAGAAAAGAAGAAAGCTACTTTTCTATAAAGATGTATCACTAAATGGCTTGAACTGTATTGGTAAGAAATGGATGCTCGTAACTTCTGAAAATTGAATAGTACTTTGCTATATATTTGCATATGAGTTTTCTCTGCTTTGAAACTACAAGTGTAGAAAGTACATCCATTGTCAGATTTTATTCTGGCTTTGCTTTTATAAATAATTTTACTTGTACATAAAGGGAGAATTTAGGCTTGGAGTATATTAAAGTTGTTGTCCTTTGTGATTGCTGCTTCATTTTCTCTGTCTCCTTTGGTTTTCTTTATTGGCTTTCCTCAGGGATATATTCAAAGGGAAAGTAGACAATTTGCAACTCATTCATCAGAGAGGTAAAGCACATTTTCTTCCTCTACTTTCAAGGAAGTTTGTAAAATGTAATAAAAAGGCAAGGATATAGGATTAAAAATAAATCTTAACTACTATGACATGAACTTTTTGTTTTCTCTTGGTGATGTTTTAATATCCATTTTTAATTAAGCAGTAGGTAACAATTAAAATTTCAATCTATATTGACTATTCTAAAATACATTCTTTGCAAAGACATATAACTTTTAAGCTATTTAGAAGTCATTTGCTTTCTGGTTTTTATCTGAAGGGAATTATTGTTTTTGTTTACATTTATATATAATATATTATTGCTTTAAAATATTGCTCACTTATTGTAAAGATCAAAATATTTATAAAGTAAGATGTTTTCTTTTAATTTGACTTTTTAGAAACATTGGTAGTTATGTCTCTATGAAATGCATTTTAAGTTGTTGAGACAAAAAAATCTTAGGTGACTTTTAAGTTTGAAACCCATTATATGGATTTAAAGATTAGTGATTAAGTTCAATCCTTGGTTATTTGAATTCTACATTTTTGTTATTTGATTTTTTTTTGTTAGACAACTTTTTAAAAGATTTTTTACATGAATCTTTCCTACTTATCCTTATACATTGGACCCTAGTTTTTAATGATACTATTAAACTATTCATTCTTTAAAAAGTATTGGATCTTTCTAAAAATATTTAATTTTGTCTTAAAATTGTGTCTATATATTTGTTATAATATACTAGTTTGAACTTGGTAATATTTACATTTTTAAACAAATTTTATTCACATTAATTATTAAAAGCATGTGATGCACAAGACATGATGATGGTACTTTTTGATTTACTTTATATTTTACATTTTATTTGTTTTTAGATATTGTAAGATATTAAATATTTTGAGAGATTAGGCTCCTAACATTGAGAGAAAATTATTTAAAGTATAGAAGAACTAATATATAAGCCTATCTGTAGAATGCAACATACTACATTTGTAGTCTAAGAAGATCCCTTGTAACAGACCAAAAGAAAAAAAAATACAGGTTTCTACATGTATTGCTAGGTATGAATAAAATTCAAGGCCTACGTTGACCACTCCTTATCTATGTCTTTCTTTTTAGGGCTAGCTTTATAAAGAAGAACCTCCAGGATGGACATAATGACTCTTCCTGAAACATACTTTCTTTTAAATCAGATAATTCACTGATTTCAAAATTTCTCTCCTGAATTTTTAGTCTTTTGCTATTGTTCCTTGCACGTAATGAGTGCTCCGAATGCTTGATGTGAAGTCAATGATAAAATAAAGGTTAGAAAATACATACATGTCAGGAATGAACTCTCCAAATATTGTGTATTTAATAATTCTAAAATCAAATTTATTAGAAATAGCTAGCAATTCTTAGTGCTACTGTATTAGTATTATGTTATTAATGCTTTGTCGATTCACCTTTCTCTGTTCAATTTCAAGTAGGTAATATTATTATTTTACAAACAAGGAAACAAGCCTGGAAACATTAAGTATTGGGCTCAAGATTAATGCAGCTTCTTTGTATTCAACACTCATGTTCACAATCACCTTTAGAACTTACCTTTTTTGGGGGGGTGGGGGTCATAACTGGGAGCTTTGAGTCATTGTTTAATACCTGGTATTTATAAAGAAATACAAAATAAGGCCAGGCACTGGGGCTCATACGTGTAATTCTAACTACTCAAGGAGGCTGAGAGAGATCTGAGGATCGGGGTTTGAAGCCAGCCCGTGCACTTAAAAACCGGAAGTGGAACTGTGGCTCCGAGTGGTAGAGCGCTAGCCTTGAGCAGAAGAGCTCAGGGACAGCTGCTAGGCCCTGAGTACAAGTCCTATGACCCACTAAAAACAAACAACAACAAAAAAAAAAGAAAAGGAAAGAAATATAAAATTAAAAAGAATCTGCAAGGAAAAAGGCTTTGAAAATGCTTCTTATACACAATATTAACCTGAAGAAATTCCTGTCATAGCAGTAAGTGTTATTTGCCACATGATTGGGCAAATAGCTATTATACATTATATAGGGCCATTTTTGGGGGGAGGGAAAGGCTTTAACTTAGCAAAAATCAATGCTACAAATGGATGCTATGGAGATTCTGCTACATCCTCCAAACAAAAACGTGTCTAGAGAAACACATCAAAGATTATAAGACATGAATTGACTTAGGTGACCACAGCTAATATTTGCTAAGCATCTGAATTACATTTGGCAGCTCTATCAATTATGATTATGGTCAGTCTATCAATTATGATTTCTAATACTTGCTTTTCTTCCTGCAGGCAAAGATTATTTTTCTCTTTTCCACACAGTTTTCCCTGGAAGCATTTGGAGATCTTCAAACATCTAAAATTCAGGGATTAATAATGGGCTTGTAAGAATCCAGAGACAGGCAATTCGGGGGAGAAAAGAAAGAAATGTAAGGATCAAAGTGTAAGTGAACCCCAAGTCGTCTCAGAAAATGTAATCCAAGAGGACTGCTTCTGGCATCTTGTCCACTCCGAGAGCTGCTTCCCGCGTCCTGAGCCCTGTGGTAACTAGGCAACGAGTTGCCCTGGTAACCTGGGAAAACACTGTGAACTCTGGTCGGCCTGGGTGCTTGGGTCTGGCAGGCGGGAAGAGGTGAAGGAGGCTAGTTCTCGCGAGAACCGAGTGAGGCCTTAGCGAAGCCTCCTCGCGCAGAGCCAGCACCTCAGGGACGACGGTGGGGCCTTGCAGATGGCTCAACAGGAAGGGATGAGTTCCGCCCCTGTGCGGGTCCTGGAAGAAGCTTTGGGCATGGGTTTGACGACGGCTGGGGCAACTACAGATGAGGTGGCCGCAGAGGGCATCTACTACCTGGAACGTATCCTTCTGGTGAAGGCCCGCCGGCCTGCAGGGGTTGGGCCGCCTGGTGGGCTTGGAGGCCGTGGCCACGGTTTCTCACCAAGAGCGCCTGTTGGGGTCACCATCAGCCTGGTCCCCGAGAACCCCACTGACTCCCCCTTCCAGGACCACAGCCTTAGCTGCTCGTCCTCTTCCAAGAGTTGGGAGACAGGCCAGACAGGCACTTGGTAACCTCCCAGTATGTGTTGGATTGAGGGCTGGTATTTGTGTTTAAGTAGGTAACAAATGGAGTTAGCCCTACTGGCATTTCATCTTGCTCCTAAACTAGCCCTCGAGGTTTTAGGATACTCTTAAGTAATCTCATCTGGCAACACTTAACGAGACTAGGGCAGGCCCCTGTAGCTGAAGGTTCAACTACCCCATCTGTGATTCTGTAGAATGGTCTAGTGGTCCAGAGTTTGTTTCAGTAGTATTGTACCCCGGGGCGGTGGTTTCAACTTTAGCTGTTTATTAATAACAACAACAATAACAGTAATGATTAAATGATAGGATTTTTTCTTCTCTTTTTGAGACTCGAGAGGCTAATGGAGAAAGTATGTTTTGATGGGTGATTCTTAGGAGAAATACCAGAAACACTGAATAACTTTATGTGGATGATTAACTTTTTCTTTGCAAGGCATTAGAGGTCCCTTGTTCTTGGTTTGTGTGTGTGTGTGTGTGTGTGTGTGTGTGTGTGTGTGTATAAATCTTACAAGAGAGATGGGGAAGGCTTGTGAGAAAAAAACATCTAACTCCATTCTTCAGATAAGAGAGAGGTGGTTATCTATTTTGTTCCTAAAGATATTAAGGAAATCCCAAAGTGTCCTTGATTTTTTTTTTCATTTTTTGTCCATCATTCCCCTTCACACAATTTTTCAAGAGTTACAGCAGTGATTCATTTTGTGAGCTTTGGCAAGGCTGCTCAGGTTTAGTATACAACCTGTTAGCAAACTATGAAGAATTTAATGGGAAGATTAGAGAAAATATCCCCTATTTCATTGGATGAAAAATTGAGTTTTATAGGAATGTAAGTTTAAAAAGTTTGAAATCAGTTTAAATGAAATAAATGGGTGCTTCAGTGTCATAAATGATATTTTATGCTTCATTTTCATAGCTTCAACAGGCTGTCTTTTCCAGTAATACTCCTTTTAAACTAAAAATTGATTCACATTATTCTTTCTGAGTTCATCTACAGTTGTTAGTGAATGGTAACAAATCATCTAGTCATTTTTGTTTTCATTAAAATGAATTCTGTAAACACAGTTTAATTATTAACATGAGACTAACAGTGTGATCATTTTTTGCAGTACATGACAGGATTTGTGAAATACATGATGGCATTCTGACTCAATGAAATTTTTAATGATGAAAACTAGGTTTCTTAATTTGTAAGGACATCATAGATTCAAAATTGCCAGCCTTTGGTGGTTTACATCTGTCATCAAATTGTTATGTTTGCATCCAGCTTCAAAAACAAATACTATTATTTTTAGGATTTTTATTATCCAGTTTGTGAGTTATCTAGCCATTTTTCTTCCATGTCTTTTTGGTTGAATAATTGCTATTTGGTGTTTCAACCAAATTTTCCATAGAATAGTAAAGTTAAACCATTCAGCTTTGTTATATGCAATGTTTACCAAATACTTATCCAAGGCTTTTTATGGGAGAAATCATTTCATGAATTAATACAGGCTGGAGCTTGAACTCAGGGCCTGAGTACTGTCCCTGCACTTTTGTGCTCAACACTAGCACTCTACCTTTTGAGCCACAGCTCTACTTCTGTCTTCATTTTTTTTTTTTTTGGTGGTTAATTAGAAATAAGAATTTCATGAATTTTTCTGCCTGGCTGGCTTCAAAAGGTGATCCTCAGATCTCAGCTTACTGAGTAGCTAAGATTGTAGGCATAAGCTATGAGTGCCTGTTAAAATATATTTATTTTATTAGAATTCATCACAACTTGGATGAGATTTTTTTCCCATTGTACTAGTAACCAGGGGCTACCTATTAATGTGTAGCTGTGGATATTTGGGAATACTCAATTCCAATTGGCAGATACAGGATAGAAAAAAACATTGTAATAAGAGAGATAAAGGTTGATTCTTTTGGGGACTGGTCTGGAGAAAGACTGTTCAAGGACGAGTAATGGAATTACATGGACTCTAGATAGATGGAACTTTCAACATATTGCTTTGTTACTTACCTTCTTTACTCTTTGCTTCCCTAGTTAGCTTTCCTATTTCTATGCATTCTAACACTGAGTACTTGGATTCTTAGGGCATGAATGTAAGTTTGCTGGTCACTTCAGAGGTCTCTCCTGTACTTAGTTGCAATTTCTCAGGAGTGAGTGAGTTTAAGCAAGTCTTTTGAGGGCAGTCAGCTCTGGATTCAAGGCCAAAGTTTGCAGCTGCAAAATGGAGGATCCTAGACCCTGAAATAGTGTAATCACAATTGGCTGATGCTAACAGTAATGCTTTTCTTCTTAAGGAATATCTGTAATCTTTGAATATTGAAGTGCATTTTTGTCTTTTTATGATTGTTTTCAGCAGTTTTTTGTTTTGTAAAAATAAATGCTGTTATTGAACAAGTGAAAAAATAGACAGCTAGTATGAGATTTGTAGGTTTTCTCCTTTGTCCTTCTTCATTTTCTCTTATTTTTTTTTCCTAATCTTTCTTTACTATTTTCCTTAGTGTTTTTTTTCTTCTATTCTAAAAATGTACTTCAGTGAACAGGCAAATTCTCAATAACTGTTATGTTCTTAAATAGTGTATTGTCTGTTATAGTTAGAAAATGTAATTTATCCAGGAGTCCTTAGATACTACCTGCATATATATATATATATATATATATATATATATATATATATATATATATATATATATATACCCTGCATAGTTTCAGATAAAAGTATAGATAACCTAAGTGTGGAATCTAGACTGTGAGCCATGTTACTATATAAAGTATCAGATATTACATGTGTGAAATTTGTAGCTTATTTAGAGAGAGAGAGAAAAAAATTGTTCTGTGTCTTCAGATCTAGGCTAAGTTTAATACGAATCAACCATGGATCTTTAAATAAAGATTCTAATATTTAAATCCAGGTTAGGGCTGAGTGTCTGCATTACCATGGACTGCTGTCACTGTTATCTAAGGCAAGAATAGCTATAGCATTTCCACTATTAGAATTTTTAGCGGCTCCATGCCACTAGTAAGAGTTCTGAGGCCATATGAGGATGTGACAACAAAGTGTCAGGGAATACACACACCAGAGGGGAAAAATCAAGTATGCCATTTATTTTCCATCCTTGGTCTGTATTATTCAATTAACTTTATTCAGGCTGGTATTTCTAAGAAATAAGATGACTGCAATTTTTAGTATTTATAGAACTTTTACAATTTTATATTTACATGTTGATACGGAAGATCCAGGTTAGATTTTATATTGACCTCTGTGAGCATGGGCTCTGGCCTGATGGGGAAGACACAAGTGAATTCTGTATATGGCAGCTTTGGGAAAATATGTAAAATATAGTTAGCTATGTTTCACTCTGGTTTTTATATAATGATACTGCTGCTTGCCATGATTGGACCTAAGGAAAAAAAAAAACAACAAGAACAGAAGAGACCAGTGTGTGAGGAACTTTGTGTTCCTTTTGTGCTCCCTTCAGAAAATTGTTCATTAGTTTGTCTCTGGCCCATGTGGATGATTGCTTATGACCTCATGATACCAGTTGTCACCACAACCCCTATTGCATTAGTTCAGCTGAAATGCTTCTGAGGCATGTGGCCATAAAGTTGTGTCATTTGAAGTACTATTATAGTTTTCATGCTCTCTTGGCAGTTTCAGTGCAGCTGTTCCATCCATTTATTTATTTATTTATTAAGCAGCTACAATAACAGGGCCTAGTGAAGGTTCTGCTAATACAGAATTAGTCTACTCAGGGTGACTAAATACAGTGTGAAAATTATAGTATGAAAATTCACAAGTCTTCTCAAGTTCCTTTCAGAACAAATAATGAAATGGCAGAGTGGGAATCTTGATTTGTTTCTACACTGTGACTTTATAAAGATCTGGCCTGGAAGTAGGTTATACTGTGGGTGGTGACTTCAAGGCAGGCAGGAAAGGAGAACTACAAAAAGTTTTTAAAATGAGAACAGACTAGGAAACTAGGCACGGTTAAGACTGAGGTGTCAACAGCAAGAAACAGATCTGTGGGCAGGAAACAAGGTTGGAAACGAATTTTGCACATGGGGTTCTATTATGTTCTTTTACTCAGACAGACCAAGAATCTTAGCTGTTTTTCCAGTGGATAAACAACTTTGCCTGAAAACTGTGATCCGCTTTCTTGAATGGTTTCTCCTGTTAGGATAACCTAAGAGATTAATTTACAGATGAGAAAGTTGCTCAGTAGAAGTACAAAAGTAACAAAGTATTTTATCTTTCAGACAATTGTTGATGGATTGCCCTTTTCTACTCTGCTGTCCAAAGAAGTGCTTTCCAAACTTTCACACAGGGTGTTCCTTCAGTTCCTTTTTCACTCTGTCTTTCTATCTTTCCATCTGCCACAAAGACCGAAGTGGATCAATATCTATAAAATACGGTTCTCTTTATGTGTACCCAAGAGTGTAATTTCTCGGAGGTTTTGGAAACAGAGAATGTTATACATTTTCTAAGAGACTTGTCTGTTTTTATTCAGGGGATACTAAATTGACATCTGATAACAGTATCATCTTTTCCCTGACTGCTGGGAAGATTGGAGACGATTCTGTTTATGACTTAAAAAGTCAGAGAGATCTATGGTATGTGCTATATCTTTTTTTTTTTTTTTGGGTCCGGTCATGGGGCCTGAACTCTGGGCCTGGGCTGTCCCTCAGCTCTTCAGCTCAAGGCTAGTGCTCTACCACTTGAGCCACTTCCGGCTTTTTTCTTTTTGCTTATGTGGTGCTGAGGAATCGAACCCAGGGCTTCAAGCATGCAAGCC